AGGGTTGGTGGGGTGTAGAGGCTGTTGTTGGTAGGGTTGGTGGGGCGTAGGGGTGGTATAGGGGTAGGGTGGGTAGTGGTGGGATGGTGTGTAAGGTGGAGAGGGATGATGCATAAGGTGAGTTGACATGGAATGTGGGTTAGAGTGGGATAGGATGGGGTGGGGTGGTATGGTGGGTGCGGATATAGAATGATGATGTAGGTTGGATACAGGATGACGGTCATGATGTAGGCAGGTTGTGCATTGGTAATCGGGTAAGGGGGATGGGTATCCCATGGCCATGTGTGTGAGACATGGGATAAGGACATATCGAGGATTATTCCGCACAGTGGGTGGTTTGCGAGTAGAACCACTGATTTCACGTGATGTCACGACTTGCATGTGTGTGTGTAGTTTCAGCGGATGAGTGACTGCCTAGCAACCAGGCGCGTGCCGTCGTCGCGGGAATACATCCTCCTGTTCGCCATCTTTCTGCGCAGTCTCTCTGTTCTCACGAGACTTGTTTATAACCTGCAGCCGACATCACTGAAGCCTGAATCGCAGGTATTCTACAAGCAGCAGCAGCAGCAGCAGCTGCCTCGTGCCTCTGTGGGTGGTGATATGCTTGGGAAAATGACCTGCGCGATTCGGGTTAATTCTGTAATTGTTGGTGGGTTTATTCGATAATGGTAGTAGTAGTTAATGTTGTTCGGAGTAACAGCACCTTATTACGAAATATAAAGTGTCATTTTATCATCGTTATTTTTTACATTAGTACTTACTGTATGCTGTTATTAAAAATCTGGCCCTTTGCTCTCTACTTAAGTTACTGTACATGAGTTCATGTACCTGTGTCTTAAAGGTAAACGTTACTTTGTAAGTGCAATAGATTAGTAAGAATTTGACCAATTTTGCCAGTGGATCGTGGTTTTGTAGTGGATCAGCGCCCGTGTGTAGGATTTATGATTCACTGCATTTCACGTTGAAGGCAAAGGTGTATAAGAAGCAACCGGTGAAGAAATCAGTGAAAGGTGGAGGAAAGCAGACGAAGAGGAGGTCGCGGGGTCAACGTCACACGATGCGCAGAAGACGCGCAGCAACGAATCCTGAGTTCACCGATTCCGACGAAGAGACGTTCCGAGATCCGAAGCAGGAGACAGACGAACGCGTAGTTCGCAAGATGCGAAAGATCGACCGAACGGAGGTTTCCACACCAGGTGGCAGCAGGAAGTCAACGAGAACGCGACCTACGCCAACTAACTATAAGGTCGGCGTTTCAAGCAGTGATGACGGCGATGGTGACTTCTCTGATGATATGGATAAGGTGGATCAGAGCCCAGAAAAGAAGTTGCAGCAGTTCAGGAGAGAATCTCTAAAAGAAAAGAAGGCAAGGCAGACCGCTCGGAAGAAAAAGCAAGAAGAATTGAGGTAGCAGTTAATAAACAAGCATCACTCACACAAGTGCGAAATAGTTATTAAGTTCTTTAACAGGAAAACGACAAAAATCAACAGCACAGAAAATGATTTTTCGATATAATATTGGTGATAATTCATGCATAGGTGATCTTCACTTCGTTTTTATGATTTAATACCCTTCTAATTATTATTAATAGATTAAATGTTATTAATAGTATGTGAACATGTTGAACATATAAGTTGAAAGGTGCTTAAGCATCCACGAACTTTACTCTCCAGCGACAACTCCGACACAGAACTCGTCCGAGAACTAGACCGGCTGGAGTCGTGGGGAACCCAGAAATCCGTCAAGAACAGGTCACTGTCGAGATCGGCCAAGTCTGACGACGACCAAGAAGTCGTCTATGCCAGGGGACCTTCGAATGACCTTTGGCTGGAGTTCTACGTGAAGAGCAAAAACCGGTGGACGTGTAAGCCTAAGGACGGAACTGCACAGTGCATATGCAGCACGATCGATAAAAATCCCACGCGAGATAAATTATGAAGAAATACGCACGGATGGTTAAAATAACTGCTCTGTTTAAGTGAGGAATTTCGAATGCTTTCAGCAAGAGTCAGTGTAACCACAAAATCATTACTACTCTCCCAGGTTTCGACTGTATTACGGGATCCATTGATGATCCCAGGGATTTGGAGAGACGGGCATCCCAGCCGATTCACTACGTGGTGGGCATTGACAATGGTACGTTCTCCAAGAAATAATTACATTTAGGTTATTATATAATTATTATTATTATTATTATTATTATTATTATTATTATTATTATTATTATTATATAATTATTATTAATATTACTATTATTATTATTATATTATTATTATTAATATTACTATTTATTATTAATATTACTATTTATTATTAATATTATTATTATTATTATTATTATATAATTATTATTATTATTATTATTATCATATTATTACATATAATATAATATAATATTATATTATTATTTATTATAATACTTATCACTAATTTTTGTGTTGTGTTGTTATATTATTTGACAGTGTTCTCATTGTATTATATAATGACCATGATTAATATGGAAGTGAATGCATCAACTATCCTGCTGTGCTTTTCCCTAGCTAATATGGTGTAGATTTACCTTTCCAAGGTTGTGCTACCAAAACGAGGTTACATGCCCGATATTTATTTTTAATATAATTTGATATATTTATTCGTGCACAGATAACTGCACCAAGGACTTAACGCCGCGCTACGCGTCTGATTGGATGACGAACGCACGACGATTCCGCACGGACGGGGACTGGTGGGCGGACACGCTGGCAACGCGCCAGTGCCAGGACCTACTTAGGGACAAGGAGGAGGACTTGCAACTGAAAGGTTTCTTCTGATCAGACGTATTTTATACGATTTTATTTGATTAATTTTTTATGCATTTAGTCTTTTTGATACAATTGCAATTTTCATCGCGTTTTAGGGTAAGTTTCTTCTGATCATAGCTTAATTTACATGTTCCTGATTGTATGCACCATGTCCAGGGCCTTGTAGGGCTTGAGATAGGGCTAGGCCTATTGGTGAGGTTAGGACTAGGGTTAGGGTGAGGGCAGGGACATATAGCTCAATATGTATAACATGGTATAAGTGTGAACGCAACCTGAGCAGGCATTGCCAGGCAACTAACACAGTACTGACAGCACTGCTATGTCTGCAATCGTTTTAGGCAAATACCGCTAATAGTTTCTACCCGTCGTACAACTCTCGTTTCGACTTCTGTTCTACACAGACGATATGCTGGCCATGCCGCTGCCATCATCCGTCTCGGAGTTCAAAGGTCACCCGCTCTATGCCCTACGGAGACACCTGCTGAAGTTTGAAGCGATTTACCCACCTACAGCCCAGCCTCTCGGTATCATCCGTGGAGAGCCTGTCTATGCCAGGTACGTATTCATCCAGGCTGACAATGGCTTGATGAGGACTGTAAGTTCTATACTAGTGATTCATATCCAATCTGATATGCTGCTGCTGTGATGTTGTGCCGTAGCAACAAACAAATTAACCTACTAAATTTCTGACAAGTGAAATACTAAATATAAATGGTATAATATTTATAGGTATAGATATAGATAAATGCATATGATATACTATGTATGTAATAAATTACTCGGTATAGGTAATGTATTTAGTAATATATAGCAGGTGATATGTCAAGTATCGCCATGCATACTAGTACAGTCAAACCTCCGGTTATCCGAACATAAATTATCCTAATTTCGGATTATTCGAACAAGATCTCAAGATTCCGTGAATAATACCCAATATCTATGATCAGATCAGTTATCCGAACAATCAGTTATCCGAACAAAATACTCCCCGCCCGTCTCGTTCAGCTAATCGAGGTTTAACTGTATACGGGATGCAAGTTGGGCAGCATAGTTGTTTGGTGTCAGATACGTGCAGCCACGTACTGGGGCAGATGGGGTCGTTGTCGTATCAGGTACTACAGATATGTACCCGAGGTAGTTTTAGGTTGTTTAGTATTCTGTTTATATTTTTATATGAGGTATGTTTAGGGTTAGGGTTAGGGTCAGCCTAAAAAATACTTTTTTTTATTACGAGAGCTCTTTTGATTTTGTATGAAAAAAAGAGCTCTCGTAATTTTGTTTACGAGAGCTATTTTAAGCTTGGCCAGAGCTACTTTTTTATAGCATGCCATTTTTGTTTAAAATTTTCATAATTTTGATGCAACTGACTCTAATAATGTCTCAAGAAAGAGCCAGAAATTGGTGTCTAATTATCCGTAAAAGGTGTTTCGCAAACAAAACGTCAACCGATTATGCTTTGCGCGAAATCGACGGCAGCGTCACAAATTATTCCTAATGGTGACAAAATCTCACGGGAGGCCTGGTTTACATGTTTGCTGTATGCAATGTTGTGTACATAAGTGTGACTGCATACACTGATTGTCTCATTCGCGATTAGTTTTTAATTCAATTCTCGTTATGTCCTAGCCATTCAATAAAAAAAACTTGCTTGCCAAGCAACAGGAAGTGGCAATTTCAAGCTACCTGCCCCGGCGACGAAGTTTCGTGACGGGTTCATCCGTGAGCCCGCAGTTCCGGAGCGGGTTTTTGACTCGCAGCCGGCACGCGCAGCGGTTCGAATTTCGCGCTGAAAGATCTAGGTGGACAGCAGTGACCACCAAACTCAGAAGTTGGTGGACCTGCAGAAAAATTTGGTGGTCAGCTTTTTTAGCAGTGAGTAACAAAATAGTATATAAAGATAACCATTGGAATTAAAACAGCATACGCGTAACAAGGAGTTAATGAAGACAAATAGTGTCTTCATTAACTCTTGATGTAACTTAATTAGAGTTGGTCAAATAATGTTTCAATCTCTAGGAATGTCGGGGGAGCTTCTGGGTAAGGATTTACTTTCGTTTTTCTCTTTCCATCTGCCGCACATCCACAAAGTTACAAGTGCCTAGAATCTTCAAGTATATACAGATTACATTTCTTCTAAATATCTACCTGAATAAAAACAGTCCACTTTCTACGTGACGAATTCAGAAAACAGCTTTGATTACGTGCGTGTCAGGTGCACTGGTCGTGCCCTAACTTCCCACAATAACCCCTGCGATGTATAAACTTATTGTTACGCAGTTATAAAAACACATTGATTTCTTAGACTGTCGCGAGTTTTTGTTCGTGTGGCGAATCATGCGTTGAGGGAGTTTATGCAGCTCTAGATGTTTTGGATACCCTAGCCGTCTACGTTGAGGAACGGGTCCTAACGCTGCCGGCGGCACGGGAGCGATTTTCTCTCGTAGCTTCCAAAATTTTCGCTCTCGTAATTGTTGTTACCAGAGCGCTTTGAAAGCTGACGGGAGCGAAATCGCTCGCTGCTCCCGTGTATTTTTTTTGCTGGTTAGGGTTCGGGTTAGGGTTAGGGTTAGGGTACACTTTTGTAGTACAAGTCTGGTACACTTTGTGTATAAATATATGTACCTCGGGTACATATCTGTGGTACCTGATACGACAACGACCCCTTGAGCCGTATTGGGGTTACACAGAATTAGCTTCCCTCCACACACTCGTCCCCACCACCATCGTTTAACACAACATTTTCTACACGGCAGAGAATGCGTGCGCAATCTACACTCTAAGGAGACATGGCTGAAGGAAGCCAGGTCGATCAAAAAGGACGAGAAGGCCTATAAGATGGTGAAGCCGAGGCCGAAACGAGGGGAGTCGACGGGGGAGCCGATGGCGGCGACGCTGAAGGTGTATGGGGAGTGGCAGACGGAGCCTTACCAGTCGCCACCCGTGGAGAACGTGAGTGCCCCACCGCTGCTCACGCTCCATCACAAAGCGCAGTGGCGGATCCAGGGGGGGGGGGCACAAGGGGGTGGTTGCCACCCCCTAGAATTTTCAGGGCAAGGGTATTTTAGCCTAACACCCTTCCCCTCGGGCGCTTCGAACCCTTGAGCTCGCATGATTCGCCCCCCCCCCCCTAAAATTCACTTCTTGATCCGCCACTGCAAACGTGAACATGAAATATCATGAACGTATGGTTGCTAAATACATACTCGTATACCGAACACACATTCAGTAGGCACGTATTCGTGGTTATATATGGTGGACTACCCAAAACTGAGTATGGATATGCTAGTAATTAACGTTTAGTCGTGATGGGAAAACTGGCTCGACAATCTCCGAGTCAGCCTATCCTAAGGATGAAGGTCGTAAAAAATTTGTAGGTGTTGTATGTTGTAGTGCTTGTAGAAATACGCTGATAAGGGTCCATAATGATAAATTTCTCTCGTTTTTTCATCGGTCACCTTCAGGGCATAATTCCCAGGAACGATTACGGAAACGTGGAGCTGTTCCAGCCATCAATGCTGCCACCTGGTGCTGTGCACCTGAACTTGGCTGGGCTGCACAAGGTTGCCAAGAAGCTGGGTGTAGATTGTGTGGCAGCCATGGTTGGATGGGACTTCCATGGCGGTTGGAATCACCCCGTGTAAGTGCGACCCTGAACCTATGTTACGGATATACGCATTTCTGTTTAGATGTATTCTCACTGCATAGACACATGGGATAATTCCCCCTCATGTGAGTGCGATCTCTCAATCTATGCTACCGAAATACTCTAAATAATCTGATATTATCATACTCCTGATATTACCAAATTGCGCTTCAAATATAAGGCCACATTTCAATCCAATTAAGTAGCAGGGGCGCTTTCCATTATGGACTTGCCTCTATACTGCAATCATGACCACTATTCTCTCTATTATTGGCACTGCTTATACCATATTTTCGCAAGCATATCTTTATTATAACAGGCATACTTATAAACATAAAGATATCATGATATTATCAGGAGTAATATCCTATATTATCTTACTCATGATATTATGCACATGCAATATTAGCGATAGATATGCCAACTTGGCTTTTCACTGGCTAAACCCTAACCCTAACTCTACTGAGAGATTCTTGGATGATGCTTATCTATTCTTTTCGTCTGTATTCGCAGCATGGATGGCTATGTTGTTTGTGAGGAGCATGAGGTGATCCTCAGAGCTGCGTGGCAGCAGGAGCAAGACGAAGCAGACAGGAAGCAGAGAGAGGTATCAGTAAATCGGCACGCTGTTGCCACTGATCGATCGCAAAGCTGCGGCTACTTCCTCGCTTGTCTAGAGCTAGCGTCCGTTACGCTATTTTCATGGCAGATGCACGATTCTCATACGCAGACTATCATACGCATGTGTATCACTTCTGTGACTCTCCGACAAGTATTACATACGACGAACGGCTCGTATTACGTATACTCTGCAACACATTATTTATTATACTCTCTACTCAGAGGTAGTGGACAAGCAAACGCCACGCGGTAACAGAGCGCGAGCTCGTGCTCACGCTCAAATATATAACAAAGTAATAAAGTAGGTGGCAGCACCGTAATGAACCACGTGAATATTGTTACAACATGTAACTTGATTTTCTACTCCATCATGTAGAAACGAGAGAAGAAGGTTCTTGCTCGCTGGAAGTTACTGGTGAAGGGATTACTGATACGCGAGAGACTGCGACGGCGTTGGGACCTCCGGCATCCTCCCGCATGCGGCACCTCCTCACAGGAAGAGTCGACAGCGGCATCGGTTGAGGCCGCCTGGCCACGGAATTTTGATTCTGGGGAGAGAGACACATATCACCTGTTCCCCTTTGAGAAGAAATGATCAAAAATAGAAAAAAGAGAGTAAAAACTTCCTATGATGTGAGCGTTTAAACAAGCGTTATACTTTTGATGTTACGGGTGTAGATTTCTTCATGCTTAGAGCCTTAGATGGAAAAATATGCGAGTTATATTTCATGTCATGGTTCCCACAAAAGTGAATTTTTCAGGGACTTTTTGAGGACATTTCAAGGACAGTTTTAGCTTTTTAGAGTCATCATATATATATTAGATTCATATATAAAGTAAAAATTGTTGTTTTACACGAGTGCTGATAGCAGATTAAACAGGCGCTATAGCTCGCCGATTACTGATGTACACAATAGTCGTTTCATATTGTCATTCATGTAGATTCATGTCACGGTCCGGTGACAATATGTAAAGCTTTGACATGTAACATGTATCACTCACAAGTATGTATCACACAATGTACTGTATCACTCAGGAATGTTATTATTTTAACTGCTCAACACTACCGCATTATCAGATTTTTTCTCCATTAAAAAGACTGTGTTCAGTACATGTATTTCTAGTTGAATTACATGCAATAAAGATTTAATAGTAATAATAAACAGTTGCCGGTTCTTTATGCTGATCTTTCATTTGCTGTGTCAGGCAGTAACATTAACAGTGATTAAACGTAATTACTTATTCCTTACTTCCCTCTCGCGGATGGTATCGCCCACGTCGTCAAGAACACCGTGAAATGTTAGCCAGCAACACACACACTCTCTCTCCCTTGCAATTTTTCTCTCTTTCTCGGGCCCT